ATTTGATTACTGTAATGCTCGTTTTAAATTGTTTACATTTATTAATCTACGTTTGTACTATCTCTGGGTTCGCGGAATAAATGAAATTGGAACTCGTTATAGAGAATTAATTAGAACAGACAGACGGAAAAGTACCAATAATTTAATTGTATAATTATCGCATTTAACTAACGATAAGTTACGTTTTCACGTGGAATTTGCTACAATGGGTACAAAACAAGTGTCTTTTTAAATTTACAGTTTATTTATGTATATACATTTGTTTGTGAATGCCTCAATTAAATGTGTCTGTGAAATCCCGTTTACCCTAGTGGGGCATAGGGCGAACACATTTCTGTGTCCGCTTCACTGGTCGGTTTTATTTACAGGCATTACAAGTAGTCTGTGCCCTGCCCGACCGAAACAATTTACTGTTTCCCCGGAATTCGAACCCAGGACCTCTCGCACTTAGCGCAATGCTAGGCAACACTATTTAGCTACAGAGGCGGTCAATGTAATGGAAGCAATGGTAACGCAATACAACTAAATGTAATGGAAGATAATTTGTTGACGTTTTTATGAGTCCGTTGACAAAGTGATAGTTGTGTTTGCAACTAAAAGTAAGTCCTGTTACTATAGAAAAACAAATAACGTTAGCTTAACTTTTGACAAACTCGTCACTCTAAAGGTATAAATTGCTGATAATATACAGTGGGTTCGATCCAAAACGGGTTCACCTGTAGACAGTTCAATTAATTTATATTTTTTCTTAAACATGACTTTGTTTGAACATCTGGATATTAAATTGGTGGTAGGAATATCGGAATTCCCTCCGAGTCACGAATCATCCTCTATAGATGAAAAGGCTATGTTTATGGTCTCAGCCTTCAAATATCAAGTCGAAATAAGTCAATAGCGCATCTTTAGATGTTAAATGGCATATTTACCATTAAGTAGAATAGAATAGAAATACGTTTATTCAGCAAACAGCACAAATTTACAATAATAAACTAAATAAATTCAGGCAGACGCGAGACAGTCTCCCCGTGACTAAAGCTGCTGCAAAGCATCCGAAACGTCGGGCCATAGTTAAAAATATTTTTCAAACAAGTTTAACTAAAATACATCGTGTTTTAAACCGTTACAGTGTTCTATTTTGACTTTGAAGGGAGTTCAATTCAGCTATGTTGGGACTAATCTCCCAACGTTAATATTCTGTCACGAAAATCGAAATGCTAACCGATTGAATTTTTATAAAAACTAGCCAGTACGTAAGTCAACCATTGAATTACAGTCTGAATGATAAGCTCGGAGGCTTGAAACGAAACTAATTGGATGTTTCCGGCCACACGAGCCTCGGCTTATGTTCTCCGTAATAGAAACGTTTAGTACTGAAGTTTCATTTTAGTTGAAGTCGTTTCAAGTCGAGACGTCCCTTTTCCGCAAAGGGTCGCATCGCTGGCTCGTGCACACTTAATTGTGCCAATTTAATTAAGACTTTCATAGCAAAAGAGGTGCTGTTTCTATCTGCAAGTATTAAGTGTGAAATGTAATTTTGCGCTATTGATTCAACAATATTAGAAAAATAGTAGCTATATATGTTTACTTTATTATTTTTATCTATTAGTGATCTCGTCCGCGTAAAATATTTATTTTGGACATCAAGTTTAGTTTTATAAATCTCCTGTATATAAACTGTATTAAATAATTTATGTAAGGGCGCATTTAAGGCTGCCAATCTATGTTGTAAGTGCTACTTTGCCGCAACACTCTCACCTCACATCACTCCTACTCTAACTCCCACTCTTATTCACATTCCCAAAAAGCCAAAGAAGAAAATTTCATTGTTCTAGCTTCAAAAACCACGAATTTCCATACAAACACCTTTTCGTCCATTCCCTTTTTGCTTAAGCCATGTCCTTTCTCAGGCCCTAAAATATTGGTGTACCAAATTTTATTTAAATCAGTTCAGTAGTTTCGGAGTTAAAGCCGGACGACAGACAGATAGAATTACTTTCGCATTTATAATATTAGTATAGACACCTTTACGTCGTGTAGTTAGTAACCTATGTTATTCCTTCTTATAAAAGCTATCTATCAGTGAAAGTTTTTTCATCCTGAGGCGTTTCATAGAATCCTTCGTGCGCGCGCCCCAACTCGACTGTTCGAAAATAAAGTGGCCTGTTACTCCCTTTACATCAGCATTCAGTCATAAGTTCCGTGAAAATCGGTGTAGCCGTTTCCGAGATTAGCCTGAACAAACAGACAGACGAAAAAAATGTTAAAATGTTGTTTTGGTATGTGTACCGTGTATACATCCATATGCATTTAGTTAAAAGCGGTTATTTTAATGTTACAAACAGACACTGCAATTTTATTTATTTGTATAGACTATAGACCGCCTCTGTAGCGAAATGGATAAACGTGTTGCCTAGCATTGCGCGAGAGGTCTGGCTTCGAATCACGGGAAAACAATAGATTGTTTCGGTCGAGCAAAGAAGTCTAATCTACTTCTTACATTATATTTAATCGATCAGTAAAACGGATATAAAAATATGTTTGCCCCTTGCCCTACAAAACGGTAACGGGATATCATTTATATAAAATACTTTCTTGTCAGTCTCTTTCGTTCAGTGGTTAGCATATGGCGACAAATCAACGGTTCGTGGATTCGATTCGCACCAGGTCCAACATCTTTCAAAAAATAACGATAAATTTCCTTAAGCATAATTTGAAATCTGGAGATTTGAAATCTGGAACAATAGTAGTACAACCAACATTACGCCCGGTTTACAAAGCACTGTTGACAGATGAAAAAGTGCGTTTAATTTTTAGTCTGTGGAATTCTTAATGTCCAATTATGGTCTGTATTTTGATACAGTTTTATCTAAATCCATAGACAAAACTTGATGGATGTACACCTGTGTTATATAATAAAACTTAACAAATCAAGATGGCTGCTACATCAAGATGGCCGTGCTTTTTTAGTTTTTGAGTTTTTCGGTCATCGTTTAAGAATTATTTTTTTGTTGTTTAAGAACGAACATTAAATTACCGCGGCCGAACGCACGAAAACCAAAGCTTAAGATATATAAGAGGGACATAATCTAATTATAATTTAATATATCTACTAAAGCTAATGTACTAAATAATAATTATTTCGACCACGTACGGAAAACACCATTCAAACGCAATTGGCAGGCTGCCAATCACAATGTATAAAATACCATCGGTTTCATTAAAATAATGAACCACAATTAAACAATTATTTATTCTTCACATTAATTACTACGAGTTGTTACTAATTAAATAATTTTCACTAAAATGGTTTATACGAAATTGATTCGTATTGGTTACCAATCACGAGAAATTATATTGATTTCATGTCATTTACTCAAAATTAACTGTAAAAAGGTTAATTATATGAAGTGTTGTTCTTTGAAATAAGCGATTAAGTTCTAGTTATGTCTAGTAGGTATTATTAAAATGCAAATTCTAAACTTTAATGGCCATTATAAGATGTTTGCAAACTTATAACTAAATTGTGCGGATAAAAAAACAATAATTTAAGTAAAAAATATATATAAGAGATGACAATCGGTACCTAGCTATGCTGCTGAATGCTCTGAACACTGAACACTCGGCAGCAGCTCTGGTTTTCAGACTGGCCCGGGCATAGAATGAAAGGAGTGAAGTTTAGTAAAGTAATATAATTACAAGATCGATATACCATAATAAACATATATGAATAAAATAATAAAATAATAACCATAAATTGTTGCACATCTGCTTTCCAAGGAGGTCCAGTTTAACATTACTAAGTGATTACATGACCTAATAGGAAATCTAAAACACCAAACATTATTGTGAAAACCTGAGTCCCCTATTTAGGGCATACGCATTTGATTGTCTGTTTCACTGTTGGCTTATTGTGCCTAAATATCAAGCTTTTGTGCCCTACCCGAAGGATAATGTACCTAGAAGATTCGCTAATTACAAGTCATGCAGGCGGACAGTGTTGTTTAAAACTCGAAATATATTAGTTAACTTATTTTATATACTACCCGCATTTAAATGAAACGTTTGAAAGTATTTTATTTTATGATAACTACTCGTTTGCAGTAGTAAAACTACTAGTTCGCGTCTACGACATTATAAAGGACACTTCCCTCTCTAGTCTAACAATGTACTGTTACTCCAGCAACAAAAAAGTTGTATAAAATGCGACTAAAACAAAATCGCTAATAGCCATCTTCAAAGGGAGCTGTATAAAATAAACAGTCCTCGAAGATAAAAGATTTACATAAAACTAATGGAAGTTTTTATCAAGCAGAAAGTGGAATGGACAAGTAGCTTGCGGCAAAATTGTGCAACTTTGCACTATTTAAGTTGCAAAGTTGGGAGTTTGCTATAGAAAACTATGTGAAGGGAGCCGCTCATTGTCTTTCCTCGGTTTCGCCATTAAATAGTGATCTGGCAGTCCCGAAGGACCGTTGTCTAGTAAAACTGCGGGCTTCCGTCTTGTTTGAACCTTAAACTTTCGAATGTATGCACACCAGCCCGAGTTTATGGTCTCCGGAGATAGTTACACATTTTACGACGTTATTATGTTCGCGAAGTATTTTTACTATTATTATAGGCTTGTCTCCATTATTATGTTTTACACTCATTACCATTGATTACGAGAGACCTGTTATTTTAAACTAAAAAAAAAAACAATGGTAATCGGGAAATAAAAGAAGATTTCTAAGATACTTATACTGAAATGTGTCTAGTGAATGGCAGTGTATCTGTTCCATGTCCCAGTCTGGAAATATAAAACCTTATTTGTAGTAAAGTCGAAAAAAAAAACATTCTGGAATAAGAACTAAAGTAAACAAATAAACGCATTTAATACAATTGGATCTATGACATTCCAATTAGCAATAGATGAACGTAAATGTATGGAATATTTCTAGTAACCAGTATCAATTCCCTCAATGGATACACTCAACTCAAATAAATTAAAACTCTTTGTACAGGTGAACCTGCAATTAGGTCACGCTACGCCCGCCTAACAGTTCTAGTACCGCCCGAACCGCCCAAAATACTTCAAGGGAATTTCTACTCTACCACCGAAGACAGGATCATCAAATTGGAATGCGTGTCTATCGGTGGGAAACCGCCGGCTGAGGTAAGAACGACGTATTTTAAAGTACTTAAAAGAATTCTAGAATTTACGAATACGGAAATAGAGGTGAGTTTAGTTTGAAGTGATAAATGCTGACTAGGTGAGGACGGACAAATTGTAGATGTTCAACTGAAAATGGATGATATGTATCTCAAACGCGTTTTTACTCGTTCAATTCCGGTAATCGTGGAGTGAAGTTAGCCGTTTTATCTAATAATCTAAAAGGCGTAAAACGAAATTCAATTACATTAAAAACGCCTAATAGATTACAAAGACAGTAAGAAATACGTTTTTTTTAGAAGCAAAATAACAGAAAAAAACGAATACAGGCAAAATACAATAAGCAGCTATGATCTATAATGAACGCGTCTGTGCCTTATAAAGGGCGTTGTATAGCTTTGCGATAAGCCAGAGATTCTTAGGTTCAAAAAATAAGTTTTACTAATATATATCGCGTATTAAATCGTTAAATTGTTTTATTTAAAGAATGAGCTTTTTGCACACATGCTAGTTAATATAAATATCTAATTTTTACTGTAAACGGTAATAAAGTCAAATTTTGTTTTCAAAAATTAAATTACATCGCTATCGAAAATATCAAATTATAATATAGATTTGATATTACTGCCGAAATCCTGCCAAATTTATGCATATTTACTTTTCGTAATACGTCATCGTTTTGCAATTGCCAACACTGTACGGACCTCTATTCAAACAAAACCATTACCTAATTAAATTTTGCATGCGGAACGGACTTAGATTTAGCGACAATTTTGCTCTATGTTCTCTATTTACGACTAATTAAAGTTTTTGAATTTTAAGCGCTTTGAAAATGACATGCAAATATCTCGACTGTATAAATTAAGCCCAATAATGTATTCTCTGCTTATATTTCATATTTTAAAGTTGAATTTGTATGCATCGAATTTTTCTAATGAAACTTATTCATGCAATAGGATCATTCGAATTTTGTGCTGTTATTGTATTCATGATTTATCAAATTAAAAGATTTAGGCGTATTTTACTGGCTCATTTGCTTCCTTATTTTTAACTTAGTAGTAGGAGGTTAGTACTTAGATCAACCTCATCAATATTCATTGCAGTCTTATCTTCAAAATTAGCATGTCTGGGTGATAGATTTTGAAAATTAAGCTTATACTAACGGTTTAATAGATTCTCTTGAATTTCATCTCTTGATCAAATATTTTTAAACACTTTCGTTAAATGCGAACAATATTATTTTATTTGTTACAAACCATGTCTTCCTGTGACATCGTTTACTGTAAATCATCCTACCAAAGTCGTGGTTAAAATAAATTAACTAATTTTGTTAAAAGAGTTAACAAAATTAATTATTAGTTAGTTAAGTTAAGAGTTTTATTCAAAATTTACTGTACTTTAGACGAGAATAATACTTGCAATAGTAAGATGACCATACTTAAACTCAAAACAACTGTTACTTGGATACATCCCTAGTACATACATAATAACAAATTGAGCTAAGTTTCTTAAAACTTTAGTGTTCTATTTAAATCTTGAAATTCTATTGTGGTGTAAGAAATACCAAGCGTTACAGTTTATTCGGTGATTTCGTAACGTAATAAATGGTTCACTAGAGACGTTAATATTAGTATTTTATAAATCATCCAGATAAAGGGAGCAATGAAACTCGGCGACTATAATAATTTGAATGTCGAGATTAATCTTATCTCTAAAATATTCTTCGGAGACTTAAAACAGTTTAACCGATCTCAGTTCATTTGCGAGCCAAGCTGTTTCATTTAATTCAAGTGAAGTGAATAGATGATGGCTATAAGACTCATGGGAGGAAAAACAATTAGGAACAAAATTGAATATCGTGATGTCGCCAGCTTTGAGTGCCCGAGAGAATTTCCAGAACGTCGCATAGTATCTTTGTTTAAGCTATTTCTGGTGCAAAAGATATTCATAAAATGGTTTATTCATTTCACAAAACAAAAATGTATTTATAGTTATATAGGGTGTTTTGTTATTATTCTCTATTATTATAGAAGGGTGATTAGTCCACAAAGCCTGGTGTGTAATTTATCCAATCGTGGGAGACTTTCGGTTGTCACACAAAGTGTATAAACTGTTATATAGACGCGTATGTTACTCGTAGTTCTACGTCAAGGATAATTTGTAGAATGTTTTGAGTACTAAGAAATTATTGTCAATTTCAGAAACTTTATTAACTCCTAAGTATTAATGTTTTATTCACGATGCAATTTTATTTATTTAGTATATATTATTTCCACACTTTGATACAAATGCAAATCCGTATCCAATTGTTTCTTTACTACATGGTAGAGTACCTTCCACAGATGTACAATAAAAAACAAGAATTTAAACACTAAGAGATACAACGTCTAAAACGTATCGTTTTAAACTGTCGACAATTAGATTGTTTGTTTACAAGTAGATAATGATAATATTTTAGGTTCAATTAAGAATTTCTTGTGCGAATATCTCACTACCCGCTAGTAGTGAGATATTTGACAAATTTATTGTATTTTAAATTTTTTTTTTTCTAAAACCACATTTATGTGAAAAGCATTTAGCAAACCTAAGTAATTTTAGCAAAAATGCCCAAAAAGGTTTTAAGAACAGTATTACATAGGTGCAGAAAAAGTAGTATTTCTTTTATAGAGCCTGTGTGCGTAATTCCTGTTTTTACTTAATGTACGCAAAAATGTAATATGGCTAATTTTAGACGAGGATTTAGAAGAAACTCTTCCTTTTATAATACCACAACATTCCAGGTGCTTATTAGACGCCCGTTGGGCTCTGAAACCCCCCATCAACATGAAAGGTGCAAACCAAAGATATCATTAATATTTCGTTACAGATAACTTGGGTGGACAGCAACGCTGGGGTTTTGACGCAGGGTGTCACTTACTCAGTGGAGCCCTTGCCAGATGGACAGAGATTTACGGCCAAGTGAGTAAATTGTCGACAGCCTTACCTATGTCATTGTCAGAAATGTGTTTCTGATAATTGCAAATCATCTCTGAAATATTACACGATATTTCGTAACATGGAAATCTATTTGTAAAAATTTTCGCCTTCCCTTCGAGATGGTGAAGATGAATTTACAGTATAGCCATATTTAACTGTTTAAAAGTTTCACAACTTGAAGTATCGTTAGTGATCCGTGACCATGACAAAAATTGTAGTTGTATTATATAAATAAATGAACGAATCTTTCGCGTTTTAAATTGATTTGTAATATTACAATATACTTTGTAACATCGAAATCTATTTGTAAAATTTCTCGACTTATTTTCAAGATGGACTTATTTTCTGGATACGTTTGAAGTACTGACATATTTAACTGTTTGAAACTCGAATATGTTTATCAAATTGATCCAACGTATCATTAATGATCCATGATCATGACACACCTTGTAGCTCTAAATAAATCATTGAATCTTTCGTGTTTTAAATTGTTATTTAATCTGTGCCCCATTTTCAACATGTGAGCCAAACATTAAATTTAAAATACCACTAACTTACTTAAATTCATCGGAGAGGCTTGCTCTTCATTGTATCCCAGGAATGAAAATGTCTTAATCAGTTATCATGAATTACTGATACAGATATTGTAATTTATTGTTTTAAAATAATAAATTACAATATATTTTATTATCTATATTTAATTTCAACTTCATTTTGCATATGTAGGTCATAAAATTTTGTTATTTTATCATGAATTTACGAAAGTACTATTAAAAAAGCACCGAAATATCGTACAACATAAAAGAGTGTTTCTTTACTATTTAATTATAGTGAAGGTATTTGATCTACAAAACCTACAACTCTTAATTATACTCCGGACCTAGCTAACCCATTATTATATTTAACGAAAGGCCAAACAACTGCTATCAAATTATAATTAGTTTGATATTATTTTAACCTAAAAGTTTTATTTGTTCTTGAGTGTCTACAGAATGTGCTTGAAATTAAATTTTACTTAGATTGATTTTTTAAAGTATTAATTAAATACTGTCTATAGTTTATGCGAGTAGTAAACGTTTTAAAAAAACTTTTAGAATGATTTTCATCTCATCATCTTTAGTCTCCATGTGACCACGGCTGCTGCCAAGCAGCCGAAACGTGGAGCCGAAGTTAAAAATCATTTTTTAATAAGTTTAACTAATATATTTGTTTAAACCGTTAAAGTGTTTTTTATATAATCTTATATATTGATTCTCCAAACATTACTCTAACTTTTACTACTACTTACTAGACTGACGCCCCGCAATGCTGAAAGATATGTACTGTACGTACCTATAGTACAATATTTCCTACATACAATTACTAGTTGTGCCCGCGACTCCGACCGCGTGAAATATTATTTTTGCAAACAACCTCCTCAACTTTATCTTAATAATACTATAAAGTTGAAGAGTTTGTTTGCTTGAATGGAATTGTTTGCTCACTCCCGGAAACACAGTTTTTAATTGAAAAATATTTTTGTGTTGGATAGATCATAATTGATTGAGAAAGGTTTTGGGCGATATTACGCTGCGACTAACAAGAGCGAAGAAACATGGAGTGTGGAAAAATCGGGGAAAAACTATTCGTCCCGTTGAGTGTATAGGTATATAATTTTCTCGAAAATATTTCTTTTAATTCGAACCAGTAGTTCCTGAGATTAGCAAACAAACAGCAGTTTTGTAGTATTAGTATAAATATTTACTTGTAAGAAAAATGGAAGCTTTTATATTGTTTAGCGTGTAGTGCGCTGCATGTCATGATTAATTTTTCACACTGTTTGACAGGTCCGTAATAAAAATGACTCCGAAGCAAGAACACCACAACCAGTCGTTTACATGTCAGGCGCAGAACACAGCCGACAGGGCGTACAGAGCTGCCAGTATACAAATTGAGGTACGATTTTCTTATAATCAGCTCTAGTGCTTAAAAGGAGTTACATTTTTCTATAGCAAAGAAATATACAAGTTATGACTATATACTATTATAATCAATACTGTTTACGCGAGTAGTACACATTTAAATGAAACACTAACGGTTTAAACTTATTTGTAAATTCGTAAATTTCGTTTTACGCCCATGATTTGAAAACTGTACTTGATTGTAGGTGTAAATTTAAAGTCTTGTATTTCAATAGTATTGGCGTTTATAAGTATACCTAGCTCGCGTTAATTATAAATGATTTTTCATTTTAGGTTAACACTTGCACTTAACTATAGCAAGAAATACAACTATGTAGGGTCGATAAATTAATATTTCCATGCATAAAAATTATAAAACAAGATTAATTTTGCGAAATATTGTCAATACAATTTAAGTTAGACTCTAAATTGAAAAGAAATGTACTCTTCTGAAATTGAGAGCGTAGAATAAACGAGAAAAACTGGCAAGAAACTCGACACAACTCCTTTTATTGCCAAGTATTCTTCTACAAATATCTCCTAATCTGATTATCTTCATGTAATGTTAACAATATTATTATATCAATGTTCACTAGGTAATATAGGTAGAATTAAAAAACTACCTATGTCCACACTTCTGTGTCTATTTTAGTCATGTTTTCAAAGTGCTTTACGAGAGGACTTGCTAACTTACTCTATTGCACAAATATCAGAAAATTTATTAGTGGAAAATATGAACACATTTGAATAGGTATGCACACATCCAATAGTTTGCAGTCAGCCATGTTGGTAATAATAATTCTTTATTGCACAAATAAAACGTAGATACTTAGAATTATATATCGTTTGAATTATCGTGAATCGTAATCATTTTTTAGAAAAATGTTGCAAAAACATGTTTTGAGGAGCCGCGCTGGTCTAGTGGCGCGTATTTGTTATTGAGGTCGACAATTCAATCTTCGATTGTGGAAACGTACTTATTATTTTTAGTTATACTCTGTTACGTAATCTCAGTAAAGGAGACTGGCATATACTAGAACTAAAATTCGACTCGTCGCAGTAGATTTGGCCCTATATGTTATTGTTATGGTGGCCAAAGTCCCATTCGTGGGAAGTATTGGAATAATAAAAGAGTATAAATTAGGTACTTACTTAAGGTTTTAAAGGGAATCGAAACGATACCGAATATAAAAAATAGGAATAATATAAGTTTCAATATAACACTTTAACGGTTTAAAACGCTTTATATATTAAATTTATTTGAAAATTATTTACGACGTTTCAGATGCTTTGCAGCAGTCGTGGTCACGTGGGCACGACAAAAGGTCGGGCAGTAGTTAAAATAATTTTCAAATAAGTATAGCGTTTGTAACCGTTAAAAGTGTTTTATTTAAATGTGTACTTCTCGCGTAAACTACAGACAGTATGATAGAAGTTATTTCGCTGGTAATCGAACTTGCGTAATCAATCAGACCGCTGAGCAAAGAAAATTAAATAAAATATCCCCCAAAAAACAATACTTAGAATTCTTTAATCACATCTACACAGAACTGTTAGCCGCGAAAAAGATTAATTTTCACTCCCATTAAAACATTTTTAAGAGACAAAGCGCGTATTTAGGTTGCGCATTAAATACGGTTTCGTCGTAACCAGGTCCAATTTTATACAGAAGTGCTCAGCTGAGTTATGTCCTACTTACTGTGAATATTCTCAAGTAATTTTCACTTACAAATATTACTTACCATCATAAAAGCTAGATCTGCAGCGATAATAACTTTATCCTTTTTCAAATTGGTTTTGCCTCTTTATTGTCTGTATTTTTTTATATAGAGGAGAACAGACAAGCATGGTTCACTTGATTGAAGGTGTAACCCAACCATAGAACATCTATACAAGATGCGCAGTTGACCTATTTTGGATTTGGATCGGAAATCCACAGACTGAAACTGAAACGCGATTAAACTCCACGGCTTTTTCATTTGTGGACTGTAGTCCGTGACCCCGACGAAAACTATATTCCTACCACCCATTTAATATTTGAAAAATTAGAAAAATTTTAATAAAACACTTTTAACGGTTTAAAACGCAAAAAATATAAGTTAACTTGACTAAGTAGCGCGAGACTTTGTGTCCTACACATATCGGTTCAAATGTCGTATTTTAAAAAATCTAAATAGATTTATAACGTCAACATGTGGAAATAAAAAAGTTTTCAAATACATAAACCTTCAAATAGGTTAGGCCTGGAAAAATATAGCGTCTGCCTTTACTGAAATAAAAATGGCCTAGCTTTTCAGTCTAGATTGAAAGTAAACAGAACAATTTACTTCAAGTTAGGCTCGCGGCCAAAATAAACAAAACGCTAAATAGCATTATCAAATTGCTCCAGAAGCCAAACATTTGATTAAAAACTACAAGGAAAGTTATTGTTCGCTTCTTATTTATTCTCGGCTCGTATTTTTTCGGACCTCTTTCTCAGATATTCAGAACGCAGCCTTCGATTTTATTTAGTTGGGGAGAAAGTTTGAGGGATGCGAAATGCGTATTTCGACTAGCAATTGTGGAAGTGGGTCCCTTTTAAAACGATGTAACTAAAATACAAAACACCTCTGTTATTTTAAGTATATACACTAACTTCAATATTATCTTAAACAAATCTTCTTTATTGCGTTTATATTTAAACGAGTATGTAAAAATACTGTAATCTTTAAGTCAACATTTTAGCGACAATTATGGACGTAAATTTAAAATTTGAAAATGGAACATCCGTCAAAGATAAATAAAGCTGGACGGTCGCGTCTAGTCTCGCCATAGAGCGCCGAGTGAAAACAGCAATGCGAGCTAAGCTGCTAAATGAAATCGTTTCGTAATACAAACGTAAGCGGAACCTCTAATTGGATATAAGCCTTTGATTTACGATTCCGAACTCATGGAGTATTAATGAAGTTTTCGGCTTTGCACCACGCATAACTTTTAGTTGTTCAAGTTTCAAATTTTGTGTGCACCTTTAAGAATAAATAAATTTATAAAATCGTAATATCTACACAATATGCTTTTAAACTAAACCAAAAATAGTGCTTTTAAAGGTACTTGTAAGACGAATAATGTAGGAATTCAGTGTATAGGTAAAGTTTAGTATTGAATATATATTTTTTTTACATAGTTTTTGCTTTAATTACAGCCAATAAAGTAATTTTTAAAGTCATACTTATAATTACAAAAAATATTATTAAGTAAAACGCTCTTAACCGTTTAAAACGCGGAATGTACTAGATAAACTTATTTAATATTTATTTCACTACGACCCGACGTTTCCGAAATGTGATCGTAATAGAAAATATAGTTTCGTTACTGTTCGTAACATAAACTGTTATGTGGCAGTAGCGGTACCGCATGATCGACAAATAGCCGTGTTTAATAGTCCATCAAGTTTTTACGATTACATTAATTCTTAATGTTTTTTGAGTTGTTCAGGTTATAGTGCTGTTATCCGGTAGGAAGTGAGGGCCTTTAAATTGAATTCTAGGTTAGAATATTTAAGTTGACGATAAAAACTATATTTAGTTATACAAGACCATATTGATTGTGGTTGGACTACCTCCATAGCTACAGCTTAGACGGGCTCATTGGTTTCAATGTATGACTATAGTCAACAGGACGTGGGTTCGATTCCCACCAGATCCAACATTTTGCTGATCAAATTATAATTTTTCTGAAACATGTTGGACTTCGTTTGGAAATCTGGATAATAAATGGGTGATAAGAACTGTGATGCAAGTGAACCATGCTAATCTGTCCTCTTCTATCGTCGAAAAGATAATTTGTTAGATAGTTCGTTGCGTTAAGCGCAAGAGATCCTGGATTCGAGTCCCAGGGAAACTATAAATCGTTTCGGTCGGGTAGAGCAAGTCTGATTAACTACTTGACTGTAAAAAAAAACCGCAACAGAAAAGCGTTTACACAAGAGAAATGGGACATACACAAATCGATTGTAGTTTACACGATTGTAGTTAAATATTTTAATAAACCGTGGTTTTGGGGGGTTTTAAAATGACGGACGTCCCCAATGTCAAATTAAATCTGTTTGTTGCGTTTATTTAGATTAATTCGTCATACTTGTTAAAAGTAATTAATGAATGTCTTTTTTATGTCTAGGAGTTATATTAATTATTTGATAGATACTTAACATCGTTTTTTATGGACGCGAATAATGTGGCGTTCAAACTTATTTTAAAATAGCTTTAGCATGGCAGAATTGACTTTGACATTAGAAAATCGAAACTCCCCCCGTGACTAGGTCTGTTATAAATGTCGTTGGACGTATAAAATTAAATGGTTCTGGGGCATGGGCTATGGCATACACATTTAAATAAAACACTTTAACGGTTAAAAATGCGATAAATATTAGCTATGCAGCATCCGTGGCCTCCCTCTGACCACGGCGTCTGCAAAGCATCCGAAACGTCGAGCCTTAGTTCTAACGTAATTCTTAAATAAGTTTAACTAATATACTTCGTATTTTAAACTGTTAAGCGCTTTATTGAAACAAATGAAATAAGTTAACTCATAATTTAAAAATCGAAGATAAATTGAAAAAAAAAAACGACTAGGGCAGGACTTGAATCGGCATCGTCAGCGTTCCGTGCTGTTGCTCTACCAATTGAGCTACCGAGTCCTACACCTCATCAAATCATTGAAATATTTTTCAATTTATCTTCGATTTTTAAATTTAATAGTGCCTTCATGTGCAATAACATGTAAAAAATAAGACAGTTTTCAAAGTTAACTCATATTTTTCGTGTTTTATTGACACTAACGAAAACTTCATATAGATATCCAACGTTATTAGAATTTTAATAGCAGAGATTGTGAGAAGTTACAACGATTTTTAACAGCGGCATTTGAATGCCTATAACATGTCAAACAGTTTAACGACTAGATCGTAATATTAATAAAGTTTTTAACCACTCAATGCTAGCGTGAGCAAAGTTTTATTACTGTTTAGCATTTATTATTGGTATAGGAATATTTTTCACTAGCTTATACGTTTTATTTATACAAGCCTTGTAATTTTCACCCGATTTACGTTCTCGCGGTCAGGAGTTCGATTTCGGTGGTACACCGACTTTTTTACGCATTTAATCCGAAAGTTTAACGCTTCACCAATATGCTAAGCCAGCGTAATGTTCTTGTAAGGAGAATTGGGTCCCAGCTGTGGGTAATTTAAAAGAGGTGATGATTATATAATTATAAAGAGAACTTTTTTTCATGTTTGTTATGTTTGATAATTTTACTTTAAATTTAAAGTCCAAAATATATATAAGGTTTTTTTCTAGAATATTATAGACATCATTAAAAGATCGTTTAAACACTTATTATCAAACTTATATAGGCTACCATCTCCGTGGTTAACGACGCCATGTCCGAGGTTTTAATCCTGGATTAACATGATAAATATTTATTATTTTCTTTTAATTCAATGTTGTTCCTATATTCCTTGAATTGTGAGCCTTTGATTTATCTACTTATATAAGTTAAACGTAGTATATATTATGGACTACAGTAAAAATGATTGTCCTCTACACAGCAAAAGGAAATTACTATTCCGGTCGCGGATAAACAAGTCTGGAATCGCTTTGTACAATTGTTTTGAAATGGACAAGTAAATACTACTATGTCAAGTTATAATGATTAGAAGACAATATAACTAAATTGCTGTGCCATTGGAAATTCAAATATAAAGTGAAAATTATCCAAAAAAATGACCATTTGCTCATCCATCAGGTGTCAGTTTAAGAAATATTATGATAGGCGGTGGGAGAGGTTGAGTAGCGTTTTAAAAATAACATAAATATGTTATTTTTAAAACGCTAATATAAATATATAGCTTACTTCTAATCTCTGTATAAGGTTTGATATAAAATGATAATTCAATATCTTTACTAATATTATAAATGCGAGAGTAACTCTGTCTGTCTGGCTTTAACTCCGATACTACTGAACTGATTTAAATGAAATTTGGTTCACAGATATTTTAGAGCCTGAGAAAGGACATGGGCTACTTTTAAATGCCAAAAAGGGTTGAAAGAGGGGATGAAAGTTTGTAAATTCGTAGTTTTTGAAGCTAGAACTTTAGAAAAATGAAACTTTCTTCTTTGGCTTTTTGGGAATGGGAGTGGGAGTGGGAGTTAGAGTAGGAGTGATGTGAGGTGAGAGTGTTGCGGCAAAGTAGCACTTGCAACATAGATTGGCTGCCTTAAAGTCCTTACATAAATTAATAAACAGCCTAAATAATTAAAAATTCTACCCCCACATTCCACCGACGAAGTCGCGGGCACAGCTAGTAATCTATATTTTCACAGAAACTGATATAACAAATAGTAAATTAGACATTTGAAATAAATTGACCAAGGCTTGTAAAGATGTGTTGTATGTATTGAACTAAAATATGAACAAGTGCGTTCTGCAATTTCGATAATGGCCGACGTCATGTTTTCTTTAAATATGGAACAATTTGCAAATTTAAATAAACACTTATGTTTAAAAATAACATTCAAATACAATGGGTATTTTTTATGGTCTAAAAATATATATTTATAATTCAAAATACATAATTTTTTTATGATAGAGTAGATAAAAGCATGGGCCGCCTCTGTAGCCAAAAGGTAAACGCATTACCTAGTATTGCGTTAAGCGCGAGAGGCCCTGGGTTCGAATCCCAGGAAATTAAAAAATTGTTTCCGTCGGGCAGGGCATAGAAGTCTGATCAACTACTTGCCTGTTAAAGAGCGGATCAGTGAAAAAGATGCGATGTTGACCTCAGATATCTATACACTGAAACCAAAACGCGACATCTTCATAGTTTCATTTGAGGATGATAGTTCGTGTCTGGATGGAATTTTCAATATGCAAGACTCCAGACAAAATCTTACAAAAAATTATAAATTGATTAGAAGTATGTACCCCGTGAGGATTCAACATACGACACGTCAAAGTTTTCCATAACATTTACGCTTCCTAAACGCTTAAACTCAAACCCATCTTGTACAGTCGGTTACAGCTATTGCCACGTATCTAGATGCCTGTACATCCATACATAATCGCCGTTTCCGTTGTTATACCGTAAAAAGGCCAGTTTGTTTATCATATATTTTTTGTTGGTCGTAAAATAAGAACCCTTTACGGGCTACCCAATTACTTTTTATGGTCACGGCCGATCTCTCGTATTGGAAGGGACATTTGTATGTCAATGTTGTGTGACCGTTTCTAGAACGTGCTTTTCCGACGATTCTTAGTACTTATATCTATTTATAGAGAGCTATTTATTTAAATAAAACTGTAACGGTTTAAAACGCGAAATGTATTAGTTAAATTTATTTGGATTATTTTAAAGCATCAGAAATATCGGGCCGTTGTTAAAATCAATTATAAATAAGTTTACTAATACAGATCGTGTTTTAAACCGTTGAAAGTGTTTTATTTAAAATGTAATACCCGCGTAAACTTCAGACAGTATGTATTGATAGATGTAACGTAGGTATTAGGTACCTTTGTAAACATTTACACAAGACGCGTATACAAGATTTATTTACTCAGTGTAGCATCAGTAATATATGTTTAAATGTATTGAAAAGGCTTAAATACGTAAATTCAATACATTTAGTGTGAAAATTGAAGTAACGGCGGCAATAGATTTGCTTGGGTTTAAAAATGCAGTCAAAACGGACCATATATTATTCACCAGTTTATGGGCGCGCGGCCCACTCCAATATTTATGGGGCTTTTTTAAGGTAATGAATTTTGTTTATTGTACCCACCCAGTATTGAATGCGTTTAATGAATTTTCACGTTTTGAATTTATGGGGTTAAAATAGAATTTTTCGTTCGACAATACGTGAGGGCAATTCTTTAATTTCCGTTACGGTGCGGTTACATTAAACCTTTTTAAATTAAGAACTCAAGAGGTTATTTACATGTTATGTGATATATTTAAAAAGAATGGTTTTTATATATCGAAGGTCATTTTATGGGGGAAAATTTCTAAATACCAAATATAGATCGCGTTTTAAACTGTCATTTACCTTTGACCTATTTAATTAGTACTTAGTTATAGTATGTAGTAGCTAGTAGTACATACTTAATTTACGAGTCAATTGAATTAACTATAAATAAAGTTAAAGTCGTTTTTTGAAATTCAAAAACAAATGCTGTAATAAGCATACTAATAGAAAAATACTATATCTATATGTTACTCATTGAAACAAAATATAATAATATTTAGGGTACAAAACGATGTTTAATTATTTGAGACAACTCTTCGATAGGATTAAATCTTGTTGATATTATCTATTACAGTAGACAGTAGATCGGTATTGCCAAAATATATTTCCTAATAAAATAAAGAAGTATCCTGATAAACTCTAAGATCCTGAACCCCGAACTTCCACACACACACAGACGTTTAACTTCCATCTTTATATATGTATCTATTTATAGAAAGGGGTAGACCTATCTTACTACTACTGAAATTGTATTTTAAAATTACATATCTAACACCGTTTATTACCGTTATCAATCGGTTTTAAAAGCGGCAGGAGGAGCGGCTTGAACTGTAGCGTTCCGTGCTGTTGTTCTAACCAATTGAGCTACCATGTCCTACATGTCGTCGTTGAATTTTTTCAACCGCGCAATGTCGCAATTAAAATCGATTTTAATGTATATAATGCCATCATGTGTATAACGTGTGAAAATTATTAAAGTGTTTAAAAGTCTTAATACAACACTTTAACCGTTTAAAACGCCATATATTTGAGTAAAACTGTTTGAAAATTTTTTTGAATACAGCCCCATGTTTCGGATGCTTTGTCGAGACCGAGTCTCCCCGCGACCACGGCTACTGCAAAGCATCCGAAAGGCGGATAAATATTTCCTGTAAGGAACTAAAATATATCGGTAAGCCGTTAAAGTTGTAGTGAGTAAACTACAGTAAATTATTTCTTTTCTTCACACTTAAAATAATTGAATCGCTTACTAGTTACTGTGCCACGAAGTCAGACGTTTGTTTTGAAGCATCTTGAAATTAATTAATGAACTGAGTTAAAAAATAACGTGATTTAATTTCACAGGTAAAATACGCGCCGAAAGTGAAGATCCAGATTAAAACAGGAAAAAGGATACCGGAGGGAAAAGATGTTGTTGTCTGTGAGTATTTTATGTTCAGATTTTGTTATTAGCACCGTTTTTTTTCTCTACGTTGTTTTAGAAATATGGAAGAAATTATCCCTAACCCACTCTACCTTGTTTATGATCTGTCGTAGAATCTATGATTAGAAGGAATATAAAAACATTGATGTAATTTAATCTAGAGACTCTATTTTTAAATTAGAGGAAGATAGACAAACGTGGGGTTTGCATCATTCATAATACATCTCCACACCATGCGCTATCGACCTATTTTGGCTCTAAAACCGCAGGCAGAAACCGAAACGCGATAAAACTTCACGACTTTCTCATTTGTGCACGGTGAATTGTGACAAGATTTCTAGGCGAATTCCAATACGTTTTAGAATAATTATAAATTGATTAGAAACATGATGGACCCGATGAGAATCGAACCCACGATACGTTAGTTATTAATCATGCATGTGTGCATGTGTTATTAACTTGCGTGTGAAAAAATTGTGTGTACATATATTTTTTTTCTAAATCACCCATTACAGAGCCCATAGTGTTTTCGCACACTATTCCACAAAATGGCGGCAAAAATCTTTTACAAAAACGTGTAGGACACGGTAGCTCAATTGCTTAAAGTCCTGCCTGTGTGGTTATCTAAAATCTATTTTTAATAAATGTAAACTAATCAAATTTAGTATTTAATTTCCTACACATGTCAAAAGCCGTTCCGCATTAGATTCAATTGGTCACTAAACGCAAAATGGAACTTCAAATCTTCAGCCGCTCGACAAAAGGCTTGTTTAAATTTAAATGAATTGCTTGTCAAAAGGGGGTTTAAGCTAGGACGATTAAATTTTGCAAATACTAAAATTCCATTTTCCATTCGACGGTGTTCCACTATTATTTCGTATTTCAATAGGATTTACAGTCATTACACAGTGCCCGGTGTTTCTGCTGGATTATTTCGGTGGAACTTGTCCAGAAGTTTCCTTGAATGTTTTAAAGATTAGCGGTTTAAAGTATGATGTTGAGGAACGTTGAGCGTATTTCGTAGGGTTAAGTGAACTCTATTCCTCTTCCGGGACTATGACAAATTGTTATGCATTGTATTTGGAACTTTAGTTACGAGATAATTAGAGCTTATTGGATTAATATTTTTAAAGACGTAATTACTAAAATAGTAAATCTACTGTTGAATCTTACACATAAACAGTTGCATAATTAACTTTACACTAATAATATTAATTAAGAAAAAATAACCCACTTGAAACAGTAAACTCAGCGCAAAGTAATAAGAATATGTGAATATAGTGAACTGAAATACATGATTTTTTTAAATATTTTTAAAAGCCAAGTAAATATTTTAACGACCTCACTGCACTATCAAAATATTAGGTAAACCCTATGTTACGAAATAAAAGCAATACTAGGATTGCGATATCTACTTTCCAACAAAAAAAATCAACAATTAATTTAAATAAAAAAAAACACCGCGGGCCGTCCTTGAAGCGGCATCCACAGCTTTCCGTGCTGTTTCTCTATCCAATTGAGCTACGGTGTCTTACACGTCATCGTTTTTTTTACCTCTCGCGCAATGTAATTTCAACCTTAACATTTACGCGTTGAGGTTCGACGTCTGATGCTTTGTTTTTTTTTTTAATATAGTGTAAAATGTAAAAGAATAAAGAAAAATCCTTTCATAAACAATGAAGTTACACGACAACATAAAAAAGCAAATATACGAATGGAATTGATAACCTCTTTTTTTGGAATTGGTTAAAATATATTTACCGACAAGGGCACTTTTCGAGTGATGTTCAACATTCGTAAATAGTAAACACCGCTACACAAATTGTATTCAATCAGTGGCATTTTTTTTTCAGCTTGCACAGCGGACGCGAATCCGAGTAATTTGACATTCAGATGGATTTTAAACGAATCTATAATTGGGAACAGTTCCGAACTAGTGAGTATCAGTTGAACTTTTTAATTGCTCCTGAATATTAAAAGGTTTAAGTCAGTTCTTGAGAATTATTTGTTCTTGGGTGTGAATGCAAACTCGATGTTTGCTACTTTCGTTTTTATCTTATTTAGTATATTTTTTTACTCTTTAACGGAGGGTAGTTCTCAAAGCGAAGGTTGTTGGACCTTTTAAAATTTAAGATTAGATATATCTATATAATATCTTTTTGAACAATTACAACACGATCTTAAAATCATTATTGAAGTTCTCCTTCTTAATATTGCGAATTCTTTAATAATATTTAGTAACAGTAACCTTTAAATTTAATAGCTTGTGATTGTTAAAAAATTATCACTAAAACCATTGCAAAATATAAGACAAGTTTGGAAGATATTATTTACTTAAAAGGTCTAATATTTGACTATCTTTTCCTTTCATAATTATAATTATAGATTTTAATTACTAGCATTATTCAAGTTTTATTTTATGTCTGTGTCTTGTTGTATTAGTCCATATTTCTTATTGGCACCAATGAATATTGTGTACTAGTAGTGCATATTTAAATAAAACAATTTACAGGTTTCAAACGCGATATATATTAGTTACGGGGAGACGTGGCCACGGCTGCATAGCAACCGAAACGTAGGGCCATAGTTAAATTAATTTTCAAATAAGTTTAACTAATATATATCGCGTTTTAAACCGTTAAAATGATTTATTTAACTCTAAATATTATCGAAAATAGATGAACCACTAATGATTGAATATATTAATAGGTTATACCTAATGTCACGCGACGGTATAATGGGGCAATATTAAAATGTATGGTCTTCAACGAAGTCGGGAAAAGCGAAGAAACGGAAACACTTGAAGTCACTTGTAAGTACCCTTTAACTGGATTATAATACCTCTCACAGTCTACTTAATAAGAGATTAATTCCTCAGATGCACCAACGTTCAGAAGCCGTCCAAATGATGTTGAAGCAGAGTTGGGGAAGCAAGTGACACTGAGCTGTGATGTGGATGGGTTTCCCGCTCCGGAAATAAGATGGCTACATTTGCAAGAAGACACTAATATCGTGAGTGAAATTACAATTTTATAAAATGGTAAAAAAATCAGATGTTTAATTTTTTTGAGTACCGTTTCTTGATGTTTTAGGTATTAGTTATTTTTCTTGTCTACTGTATTATATTTGGGGCTTGGAGTAACAGTTACTGTATGTTATTTGTTGTGGTCGATCTACTTTTCAATTTGTTCTCTTCTTTCATGCTAGTCATAGGTACTATCTATAAGAATAGGTATCATCTTATCCTTTACAGAGCGTGGGTAGAACGGCAAACCTCACGTTGACAGTAGACACTCATACATCAGGACGATATTTGTGTAAAGCTACAGTCGATGGCTATCGGGAGATAGAAGCTGATGCATCTATATTTATAAAAGGTAATTTTTAATTCAAATTCCATCTTTTTGAGCTTTTAGATAATTCTGGAATATTTTAGTTAATATTACCTAGTACAAGTATAGCTTTTACGATCTCAAAAAGTATTTCACGAAAGTAAATTTCATTACTTGTGAGTACAACATATTGAAGACCTTGGGTACATGTAAGTTTCCGAGAAAATATAATAATGTACAAATTGAATAATGTACAATACGTCGAAATATATGACGTCGTATGAAATTTCCTTGAAGCTATACAACTACGCACGCGGTAGATTGAACAAAATTGACGTCATAGAACTTGAACCGGCATCCACAGTGTTTTAAGCTGCTGCTCTAACCGATTGAGCTATGTTAATTATTTCTTTAGAAATTTCTTCAAATCACTACGTATACACTTTTCGCGCAATATAAACCATAAGTCTACTTATTACAATGTCCTGATTTTGTGAAAAGTGCATGTATCCGTAGGTTCAAATAATTCGACAATGACGTGTAGGACACGGTAGCTCAATTGATTAGATCATAGATAGTCATGCCTGTATCGTAATTTTTTAAGTTGTATATTGAAAAATTATTAAAGATGAAATTACGAAGTAACGTTTTAAAGCTTTTTTTTTTTTATATTAACACGTCGGTAGTTCAGCATAAATTATTTAATTTATTTTACGTTTTTAACCGTTAAAAGTGATTTAGTTATCTTGTACAACCATTTGAGATGTTGTTTCCTGTCAGTTTTATACAAATTTAGCTTGCTTTGCAGCGCAAATAAAAAAAAAAACAAAAAATTACGCGGGATTTTTGGGAATCGGAAATGTTAAACCTCTACGCCTGTTAAAAATATTGAGAGACAACATATACACTGAACCACTCTCACGATGATAAAAGTGTAATATTTTGAGAGTAAATTTGCGAGCTCAAAGATTACGCAAACAATTTTTCCGAAGAACTAAAAGGCTCCACTCAGCTTAAATAAAAGAGGGATCATGAATTTTTAGAATGTTGAAAAGTGCTGAATCTAACTTTAGAAGAATTTCCTTTAATCTTTTGTACGTATTACACGTGCTTCCCTCAACCTGGTCTGGGCTTTAAAATACCTTACAAAATGGATAGCTTTAAAATTGTGGTCACAACTTTACTTAGTACTATTTTAATAAAACGTCATATATATTTGTTAACTTATTTAAAATTTATTTCATCTAGAGTCCAACGTCTCGGATGCTTTGCAGCAGCTGAGGTCACAAATAATATACAAACGTTGGACTGTGTTTAAAAATAAATTTCAAATCAGTTAAATTCGCGTTTTAAACCGCTAAAAGTGTTTTATTTAAATCTGTACTACTCGCGTGGACTACAGACAATACTCACTTAGTACTAATCGTATATTATTATAATAGTGGATCGATCATACTCGACATCATGAGGTCCAAGATTCTAATACCGCACGAAATGTAAATTCGGTACTTGGAATTAATAAGTAATAGAGCTTGGAAGAAGGAGGCGAAAACACGTTTAGTTATGAGGCTCGGTTATTACTCTTGTTATAGCCCACCAACCCACACTGGAGCATCGTGGTATGTTTTAAACTCTATATCTTTCAAGGGAGGACTGCCCAGTAGTTGAATACTTTTCTAAGCAAATATTTAGTTCGGCCTCGAGTTTAAAAATAGTAGTTGTCATAAGACGTTTAGCCATCAGCCTCGGTTATTTTTCATGTTAAAGCTCACCTATCCACACTGAGGCAGCGTGGTGGGTCTAATCTCTTAAAATCTTCTACGAGAGAGGATTGTAGTCGTACATTAAAATTTTGATAGTTGATACGAATAAGGTAACAAACTTACGTACTTAAATAATTAATGTTTGAAAAACAAAACAGTAGCCGCGATTAAACGTTTTTCCCATCATAAATCGTGATACAAATCAACAAACATTGGTATTATTCGAAAAACTCTTAATACTTTCCAATTTAAAGGCTTTAATCGGCTTTCACGTCAAAATTAATCAAGATTAGATTCGGCCAGATCGGTCAGGTGGCTGTAGAATGAATAAAATTATCATTATATCGTAAGAACGTGTTAAATTAAAACTTTTAACCCGTTAAAAGTGGCATAATAGCATTCAATCGATGAAAATATTGGGTTCCGTAATTGATCGGTAATTATCTGTATCGGAACATGGTTTCGATTATTTTCAAATTGGAAGCTTTGATTTAATTATGTTTTGGTAGGCCCAAGCTTTCCTTTTTACTTTTTTTATAGATAATAATAAATAAGTATCGTCTTTAGTTTACGTGAGTAGTACACAGTTTAATAAAACACTTTTATCAGTTTATAACGCGAAATATATTAATTAACTGATTTCAATTTATTTCATTTTTGCTACATTTAGGATGCTTTGCCGTAGTCATGGGGGAAAACAACAACATTTCGTGTTTAAAACCGTTAAAAATGTTTTATTTCACGAAAAAAAAATTAACTGCTTTACTACAGGAAATTGTTGCTTTTTTCTTTGTTGATTCCATCATTTTGTGTTAGAGTTGCGTAAATACTAAATTATATTTATAATACCAATAAGTTGTGTACATTCTACTAGAGAATTCATTGTTTAATTCCTGGGAAGCTAATATATAACATTTCGACAGGTCCACCGAAGATTGTATCAAATAACACGCAGTTCGGTTCCCAAGGTGACACGGTGAATATTCAATGCGCTGCGTTCGCGGTTCCGAAAATTGATAACATCGTTTGGACTTTCGAGGGGAAGGAGATAGATGGAGTACACGATCATGTATGTATTATGCCATCGACATGATACCTATATTTCAATAATATTTCGTATTTTAGTAAGGTGCCGCCAATCTTATCACATTATTTTACCTGTGCATTACACAAAAGTTAGTTCTATTAAATTAACTTTGTAGTCGTTGTATTTACCACCACCAAATTTTTTAATGTTTCTAAGACTATTATGTAGTCATCTACTAAATGACGATAACATCTATTAAGTCATAACACCTACACAAATGACAATCCACAAAGAAAATGACGACATACAATTTTAAGTTATTAGTTATCATTCGTTCTAGTATCCGTAGCTATGACCAGACGAAAATAATTCATGTGTCTAAATTATAGGCCTAATTTTAGTGATACCTTGTAAACATGCTCAGAACATATAAGCCTTCTATTAAAGAATTTGATAAGTCTGGCAACACTATTCACACACGGTTCCAAGCAAGAAGCACGATTTAGGAAGTGTCGTATTGGCGACAAAAATATTTTTGTCCATCGTACCATAAACTAAAATGATCAATACTTTTTTATTCTTGGAATATTTAGGATTGTTCAAACATATTTATTTATAGGATTAAACATATTCAAACATATTTATATATAGGATTGTTCAAACATTTATTTATTCACAGTTATTTATTCATATCATGATTATCCCTTCACAATTCCGTTTATCTAATCTCAATTATTCACTCTCCAATTTTATCAAAAAGCGTTGCTAGTACGTAGTAGTTGATTAAATTTCGGCCCTTATGCCCTGCGTATCCGAAAATATTATGTTTGAAAGGGTTTAAATGTAATAAAGGAAACTAGGATACAAATGTTTAACCGAATGCTAAGCAATGAGTATAACCATGGTGGCGGCTTTACAATATGTGTCTATAACATATAATGTAATATATATATACTCTGTCAATTACATATAGTGAAAAAGAACTTATAAAAGCAAGTTACCTATTCCACCAAGTACTAGCAGCGTCTTCAATCGAAGTTCTTTCAACGACATTTAATTGGATTTTACTGGAATCAATTATGCTTTCAATTCTGAAGCCAAATTGTTGATTGACTTTATCCAAGTTCGAAAATTTTTATAGTGTTACCTATAATTTTATCAAATCCAAGTATACATTATGCGTAGTTAAGTTTTCTTACGACAGAGGAAAATAGGCAAGCATGAGCTTCGCTTGATAGAAGGTAGATGACATGATTAATGTTGATGAAATGTGACCTGTAACATCTGGTATACCATTGCTATGACTTTTCTTGGTAAAACATTTGTTTATATCTCAGAGAGTTTAAACCGCCCATACATATATTGCTAAAGCAGAGAAGCCTTGGGACTTCACAATATTCTCTTTGCAGGATTATGCGTTTCAAGAAGATCTTCAGATAGGCGGAATAGTTAACTCCACACTAATAATACGAGAGAGTCAATCGAAACATTTCGGTGTATATCGATGTAATGTTTCAAACGACTATGGGAGCGATACTTTGGACATTGTATTGAGGCCTACCAGTAAGTATATTTATGATAGGGTTCGTTTGATGGTCGGTGGAATACCCCAGCTATATAACATCTAAACAAGATGTGCCGTCCACCTTTTTAGCTTTGGATATTCGGAAATCTTTAATCAAGTAAATCTTGTGTACTTGATGAAAGGTGAAAGTACTCAAGCCAATACATATGATGATAATAATAAAAACAATATTTATATCATTATATTTCGGTCTATTCGGCCGACGTGAGCGAGAAGAAGTTTTCAACGTTACGCCATCACGAGAGGATGGCATTTTCGAAGAACGAACAAATCGAACGAAGAATTAGGAACGTCGAGAACCTTTTCTCGCTCACGTCGCCTGAACAGACCGAAAAACAATGATATGCTTAACGATGGCCGTGAAACATATATTACATAGTTTATCTTTATATCTACCAATCGCATGTTTCAAATATATTAATAAATAGTGGCATTCATTTTAGAATCGTTCCCGCTTCTTATAATACTATTCGGGATAACATCTGGCACGATCATGGTAGCTGCGGTGATAATGATGGTGATATTATGTCAACGGAAGCAGAGAAAGAACAAGCAGGCCCAGGTGACCGAGAAACCAGATGTCACTGTAACAGCTGAAGAATTGTATAAAGAGAATGACAGAAACTCGAATATTAGTGATCTGAAACTCGAATTGCGACAAGCAAATGGGAGCTGTGAAATTGTAAGTTTATTACTTTTATCTAAATTTGAAATTCCCATAAAAGATTTTTTAATATGACGATGAGAGAGACTCGGTTAAACAATTGGTGGAGCTAAACTTCACTGCTTTTTATTTGTGAACGGTGGTTCGAGACCCAGAGGGAATTTTAGTATTACACCCATTTAATATCCAGATTTCCAGACGAAGTTTAACACGTGTCAGAAAATTATAAATCGATTATTGTTAAAGTCGTAAAGCTTTCCACTACGGCAGTGTCGTATATCAGATTTCCGTTGCAAACTGACAACAATGCTCTTTAAAGGACTATTCAAACACTGGCTCCGATAGCACGTTGTGTTCAAACGCAAAGCTGGGAAGTGGAATACCTTTGGCTGGAACTGTCCCGCTGTCTGTGAACCACACCAATACCTTCCCCTATAGGTATAGCAATGACTATAGTGATCCCGCATATTCAGATTATAAGGTAAGTACCATAAACATGTCATTAGTAGTGCCATTTAGCTATCTATCATATTACTTTATCTTAATAAAACATATTGAACGGTTTAAAACGCGAAATTTAGAGATAACTTATTTTGAATTTATTTTGAGTTCGGTCCGACGTTTTGGATTCTTTGCAATAGCCGTGATCATGGGAAGATTGTATACATCTACAATGTATACAATCTTGTTGGTTCAAATCAAATCAATGGTGGTGTCAAATCGTGTTGGTTATGACACATCCGTTTATAGTCCCCGTGAAGCTATTACGTGGTTAAAGTTATATATTTCACATTTTATACTGTTAAAAGTGTTTATTCAAAAGTCACGTAAACTACAAACAAGTCTTAAATTATTTTAATTCAAAAGTTTTTCGTCATCCTATTGACTTCTTTGCAAATTATTGAAAAATTATAAATCAATCATAATTTGATGATTTGTTGTATTTTTGTACGTAATACATTACATTTTAAGAAACTTGTTCCATGTCGTCATATTAATTTGCATTATATCCATACACGTTTATATTATTCCATAATAATGTAAATGTTGATAAGAATAGCAACTGACATTTAATTATATACATTTTACTGTACGTGACAACACAAGTAGACTACATTCCTTTATGATGTACAGATAAAGCAACTTGATAGTGATTGATACAATGATAAAATGAAAACCAATATGTATCTGCTTATGTTCTGTATTTCATGATCGTATTAAATGCGATTACTAACCCATTAACGTTACCCCAGATGAATGGTTATTCAACATACGTCCACTACGGCAATGACTACACGCCTGGTTCTTTGAGAGTGCAGTCACCCACGATGGGCAGCGATAAGCTCACGCCGAATAGGTAAGTCTTTATTCTGAACCCCTTTGAACATCTTTTCACGTGAATTTGAAATTAGAACTAAGTGATTATTTGAAAAACGAACGGAAAAAGAAATTCGTTATATATACAACATATAAACATGATGGAGAATTCAACGAAGATATCATTATTTAGTTCTAATAAACATCTGTATTTAGATCAAATCAATAAATAAATGTTGTATAAAAAGAAAATACTTATTAGTAATTAGATGTATACTGTCTTTTGTTTTCGCGGGTTGGTTCCCCTTTTTATAAACCCCCTTTTTGTTTTTTTACCCCCTTTTTTTTTTTTTTTTTTTTTTTTTTTTTTTTTTTTGTGTTCCCCCCCCCCCCCCCCCCCCCCCCCCCCGGGGCGCCGGCTCCCCCCCTCCTTCCCCTTTTTTTTTTTTTTTTTTTTTTTTTTTTTTTTTTTTTTTTTTTGTAAAGGTACACCACTGAGCTTTTGTTGTGCCTGCAAGTAGGCAGAACGCTGAATTTCAGAGATGCCCGACGAAGATTAAAATTTTAAATGAAACTCTTTTTGACGATTTAAAACGCGCATTATTAGTGTGTCCCCTTTTACTACGGCTTCCGGTATGAACGTCGTTAAAACAATTAGTATTCATGTTAATATTTTTAGTTGTAATTTAAGAAAATCTAATATTAAGATCAAATTGTACTTAAAGACGCCTAAAAGACATTTCAGGAAATATAGCTGGTCACTATTAGAGAAATACTTTGAATATTCGGTCAGACAGGCCACAGTAGTCTTATTTACTTGATCTAATAAAAGCAATCAAAGAAAAGGCGACAAAATAATACCCATACCATTTCAGAACTCATATCTTTTAAGTTAACAATTCTATAGCTATTAATAAAGAGTGTTATTTAGATCAATAAACGGCAGTCTACCGAGAAGTATAGACACGCCGTCAGTACAATATACCGCTGGGAATGGCTCACAGAACAATTCCTTACAACGATCGGGCAAGCGCCAAGATAGTTCCAACGCTTTGAATAACTTAGGAGTGCCCAGTACTGAAGGTAAGTGAAGTTTAATTTTAGAACAGCATTTTTAAATTTAGAGCTCTCGAACGAGGCAATCGATATCAATTTTATAACGAGGATAGAAGGATAGTGAAGGTTGTTTGAATGGGGTCTGTTATTTCGTTATATATGTCACGGGCAAAATAAATCCGGGGCCCGGTCTGTATCCATAATGCCTATTTTATGTGGACATTGTCATTAAGAAGCATAATTAATCACTTTTGCCGGCCGTTATGCACAATTCTCACACTTATTAATTTGGGGCGAAGTAATAAAATATCTGAACTTTTTGTTTGATGAAATTAAACTAACTAAAATTTCATAAACAATTAACAATAAATAAACCTAAAAATCGAAAATATATTGAAAAATTTTCCGCATCGTCCGCTACGTTGCTCTACCAATGATACCGAGTCCTACACCTCATCGTCGAATTTTTTCAACTTATTGATACATGTACCTCATACGCAATGTAATTTCAACCTTAACACTTGCGTATTACGGTTGCCGTAATAAATAAACTACTAGTTAAAATTACAAGAAGGAATTTATTGTACATATTGCCCGGTCCTAGTGAAAAATTCCAACACAGATTCACTACATGGGCCGTCGGGGATTATTAATAATGACCGAGCAAAGTGATAAATTATTCACTTTGCCCATCACTCTTGGGCATTGTCAATAATGACCTGCCCTTAATAATACCTAGATAATAACGTTGCCTGTTACATATATGTATCTATGTGTCCAAACATTATATTGTTGCCCTAGTCAATTTACAATAAGGAATAAAAAACGTTTTTTATCTTAGTCATTGTTTTCTAATCGTTAACTTGCACTAAGGCTGTATGTACAGCATTGTAAAGGTACGGTACACGTTTCAAGAACGACGAAGAAGTTAATCTTGACAAGTTGACTTAAGCTGACCGCTGTATGACGCCACCTATACATTTTATAACAAGGCCTACAATCCTCAAAGTAATATTTTTACTTATAAGGGAAGATATGAAATCTCATGACGTGTTATTTCACATATTTGTAAAGAATATTAATGTTTTCAAATCGTAATGAATTCGAAAATTTTAAGGTTAAAATTACATTTTGCAAGGAGGTGCTATGATAAATAGATTGAAAAAATTAACGTAACCTGTAGGACACGGTCTTCAATTGGTTAGAGCAGCGGAACGGAACCTGTGGATGCCGGTTTAGTTTCCACCCGTGTCGCAAAATTTTTAATTTAGATTTGAAAAAATATTGGATTAATTTATGTGCTTTTTTCTTTCATTTATATAATAGATGGTTAAACGAAAAAATAACTTAAGAAATGATTATATGATATATAAATTAAATTAAAATTCAGCTCAAAAGTCAAATGTTCTGTTGATTGCTCTATATTATACTTGTAGTTAATCGAGTGCCCAACGGTGGCATAATTCACGGGGTTGACGTCAGATATGCAGCAACATACGGCAACCCACATTTGCGAAGTGGGCTAGGGTTCACAGTCAATACCGCGAAACCAGCATCCACGCCAGCACCACCACCTTACTCGTCTGTGAGGAATTCAGTCATACTACCATCAGGTACGATCTAAAAATATAATTGTTCAAGGTGCAAAGCTTTTATTTTCAGTATGTATATTTAGGTACTTATCAATGATGTTTGTTTAGTTATAATTGTTTTTCTTTCCAGAATTAAAGCTCTGATAATTCAAAAAATGTCATCACTAGTTTAACTTCTTTATTTTTAAGTGGTTATTTAAACTTCAACTGTTTCTGGTGAATAATCTAAACGAAATTCTAAATTTAAATATCAACGTTGAAAGGGTAGTTTTAGTGATATATTTATTTAATTAGGATTAGCTGTGTCTAAATATTTTTATATAACAGGTACCTCATCACACTCAATAACATCTCCGACAAGTCTCGCATCCCCGCAGTGCGCGACAAGCCCCATTACAAATTCAACGATGTCAACTGACAGTGCGCAGCCTACTGTAAGACTTTTTTATTTTATTGCGAAGTTTTCAAAGACTAATATTGTAGATATACTATATTTTTTAATAACTAGACAAAAGACCTCAACGAATATGGGCGATTTCAAACCATAGAGACCCAGTGATGACCAAAAATGACAAGTAGAAAACAATACACTATATCTATATATTAGTGTATTTTTTTTTTATGTACTAAAAATCTAACAATAATCTTCTTCGTTTAGAAATTCAGCAGAGTTAAGAAATAAAAAATAATTTAATTTAATTCACGTTACGAAATCACTTTTTCCATGACGCATTTGAATAGACAGTTATGCTTGAAGTACTCTTTTAATAGAAAGGTTTGGATTTTTTTATAGGTGGGGATAGCGACGTCGTCGACAACCCCTCAGTCACCAAGCTCTCATTACATTCTCGCACCGTCGAGTAGAACTATGACGAACACAACTGTTACCAAAAAAGGTGAGAAATTAACAAGACGAAAATCGTGTTTGGGACGCTGTCCTTGAAAAGCAATATAATAGATTTAAAAAAATGCTTTCAGTGAACAGTCGTATAGTAACCAAAACACTATAAAACAATTCTTTCTATATTGGTGGACTTTGGTTGGGACCCCGACCGAATTTCGATATTGTTAAGACCCATTTTGTATCCTGACTTCCAGACATTGTCAAAAAAAATGATTAAAAAAATGTTGGACCCTATGGGGTTCGAACTCACGACCCATTGATTATTAGGCATACATTGTTAGTATTAGACCAATGAGCCTGATCAAAACTAACGATTCTTCAAGTTTCTTCACAATAGACCGGGTCATGGGTTTGGTGCCTACCGGCTCCATGATGTTTCTAATTAAATTATATTTCCTCTGAAACGATGTTGGACATTCTCTAGAAGTACAAATTCAAAAAAGAAATACAAACAAGTCCGGATATTAAATGGATGGCATGAATTTACGTTCGCGTGAAAGCTAATATTGGTTGAAAGCTGTTGTTGAGATGTTATATGGCTGGGCTGTTTTACCTTCCATCGAGTAAATGCTTGTGTCTTCCTCTGTAATTAAAAAAGTCTAATCAAATGATGTCTAAAAACAATCAATGAATATATCTCATGCAGTGGAAAAGAGATTTCATTTGGGGACGCCCACGGGTACAAACCTTCAAACCTTTCAGAAGTATATTTTTAATTGATTAGTTTATTTTTACAGGTACAATTCAAACAGCACTAGCGACGCACGTATAACCAATAATCGGAAAATGTTATAATTAGGCTTTGTTAAAAAGGACAAAGTTGAAGTGGAGACTTTTAAAACGTGAAAAGTGAAAAGGTATTGTTAACTACGTAAACTTTAGGACTCCATATTTAGTGACAGTTTTTGTAGCTTTGAAGGACATTAGTGCGAGATTGTGTTTACAAATTTAGTGGTTACTTGCCCCAGAACTCTAGCCGTCTAGCGACGAAGCAAAACAACGTACGGCGATCGGCGAGCTAAACAAAAGTATAATGTACGGAGTCGCGCGAATAATCGAGTCGCAATTCGCGTCGCCTTTCGCACCGCCAATCTTCGTGGTAATAGTGCGATTTCCTACTTAAATAATATTGTTATACGTGTGTTTCTGTTATTAAGACTACGAAGAGCGAATTATTTTTAAACTCTTGAATTACAGTTTATGTTTTATTGTTAATGTCTTAAATTTGGAAAAAGTATATTTGTGGAGTCGTACTTTTAATATTTAAATTTATGACTTTAGTCAATTTCTCACTGACTGAACTACTACTGTATTGTAAATATGTATATGATAAAATTCATTGGCTTTAACCGACTTCAAAAAGAAGGTTCGCAATTATGCTTGTAATCGATACATTCGCATTTTTATGTAAAAACTTCGAGCCGAAGATTTGTGGCGAAGTTTCAAGTGGTTTCATGGCTTAAATATTTACTTATACACTCGTACATATGAATCAGAAGTATGCCTCTTGTTAAATATTTCTAGTTAGAGTAATTTTTCTTATGAAAGTTTCAAGATACGTCAATGGGACTTAGCATTCTTATTCGCTTCTTGACAAAGCTAGGAGAGGAGACGCATTCATTTGTTATTGGAGTATGATTTATCTAACTTTGTTCACTCCTTGTATATTATGGACTTATTATTTAAATATCGAATAAAGAAATTTGAATATTTCTCCTCATTTCGTTTAACGAACATTTTCTCGCTAGATGCTTTCAAACAATTCAGGAATGGTTTTGGGTTACAAAGAACCCCAACCGATTCTTAGTCCTAAATTAGCTTTAAAGTATTGAATTTCATATCACTGTCTACATATCGATTGCCATTTTAAAATCACTTGAATTATTCTTTAGATCTTTGAAATGCCTCATCCATTTTTCTACAGTCGGTAGATGTAAGTAAAGACTGGTATCAAATATATTATATACTTTTAGCTCGAAACGGTTAAAGGACAATTATAGTTTTGCGTAACACTAATAGCACAATTCGATAGCGTAAAGTTTATTTTGCGTCAATACTTCAAATGAAACACGATTTTTATTTAAGAACAATTATTTAGCTTATTGACCTTCTATCAATGTATTAATAACGGCCTAAGTGGCAATGTGAAAACGACGGGTTCTAATTTCAAATCTCAAAAAATAATACGAAACTATCTATTACGGTCAAATGCAAATAATATAAAGCAGTAACTAATTGATTTATCTAAAAATGTATGATGAAATATTATGTGAAAGAAGTCTAACCGGCCTAAACGTCTTATATATTTTGTCACAAGTGGTACTTACTGTCAATTATCGATGAAATAATTCAATTCAAAAGAAAATTCTATAAAAAGTCAAATAATTATATTAATTAATATGCTCAAATCGAAAAGTAATTCAAACATTCCCACATTTCTATTTAAGACTGACTAGAGTAACTTTGATTTCCTCATTTTCATTCAATTCAATTGTAACCTCCCAAGAAAATGCACAAAGCTATATTAATTTTTAATAATAATCCCAGAAAACAGCATACCGATAAACAAGAACAAGTCAGCTCTGTAAAGACCGAGCTAGTGACCAAATAACAACTACAAAGAAACAATGCCGTTGCAAAGCGTCGGAAACGTCGGGCCGTAGTTAAATATATTGTAAACAAGTCAACAATACATTTCGCGTTTTTAACCGTTAAAAAGTGTTTTATTTTAGTAATTTGCCCTAAGTAACTTAAATAGACCAGGGTTATTAACGTTTATACAATTTAACGCAATTAAACCAACGTTTCGGATGTCTTGTAACCGTAGTTAAAAAATACGTTGATTACTATATTTCGTCGTTAAAAATCGTTAAAGTACTCGCGAGAATTGCAAACAGTACTTATATTAAACATCGTACAACTCCTCGTCTTCAAGTTTCTTAATCTGTTAACACCACTTGCTTTGCTTGTTGACTTAGAGAGATACATATTATATATTGAAAAGAGTGTCGCACACAGTCGAAACAGTCGCTCACACATGTCCCATAATTGTTTTTCGAACTTTGCTACCGTTTTGTAATTGTTAACTCGACATCGCCTACCTTACTTAGAATGAATCTATACTTAGATCAAAAGGCATACGTGCTCAAAATATTTTGAAGAGATACCAACTTTAAAATGAATTTAACTGATATGCTGTGACGTCATGAACGTCAATACTAAACTTTCTGGTCTCCATTGTTAGCCTGACCTAAATAGTCGAATTCGCTTGACCTATACCAAGTTGGGCAAAGCTTATTTTCTACTTGGTGGCATGATGAAATAAACGTACCAACTTTCCTTCATAAAGTTTGCTCGGGAAATTATTTGCTCTTTCAAGCCTTTTACTTTGCTTTATAAAATATCAAGCGGAATATTTATTAAAAAAAACGGTTTACTAGGATTTTTTTCCTGATAATCCAAAACCAAAATAGGTTGACAACACATCTTGTTGAGGTATTATATGGCTGGGTATTTCACCAACCGTCAAGTAAATCCTACGCTTGTCTGTCTACCTCTTAAAAAGACAATTATATTTAAATAAAACACTTTAACGGTTTAAAACGCGATATTAGGAATTAGTTAAACCACTTCTGTTGAAAATGATCTGTAACTTCGGGCCGAAGTTTAGGAAGCTTTTCAAATAGTTTAACTAATATATCGCGTTTTAAACCGTTAAAGTGTTTTATTTAAATGTGTACTACTCGCGTAAACTATAGACGGTATTTAAGACAATTATATTTTCGAAATTTAGTTTTTCTAGCCAATTCGACTCATTGCCAACTGGTAATAATAGATCTGTGTCTATCGATCTAAAAACACCTCTCATTAAAATTAACGATTGTAGCCTAATATCAGTTAATTGGGGTCGGGTTGTCTGTTGTGATAAAACTTTAATAACTTGGTCGATAGGGTAGTGGGGCAAAGGTGTGGCTTATATGTAGCCTTGATTATGAATTAGGTGCATCATGAATACATAGTCTAGGAGCTGACGACGAAATATCTAAACTGGTAACGAAAGTAAAAGCTTTCATTGATTTACTATAAACTGATGTGAAAGTATTAGAACAAGCTAAAAATTCCTACAAGATCTCAGTATATAAATGGCGTAGGCTCCGTGGCTATAAAAATTCCATCCAGATTATGAAGCGCCACAGATTAAAAAGCTTGTGATAGAGTCTGTGGATTTCAATATTCTATCATTCAGCTGAAAAAGATATCTATAATAATCAATATTTATAATAATAGGGCCATACAACATTTTCATATTTTGGCTTTTGAGAATCGGTAATCTGCAGACTGAATCTGAAATAATTAAACTTCACGGCTTTTTCACCTGTGGAGGGGGTAGTGGCACCCGCATGGAATTTCGTAATATTCCTACGATCCAATGTTGCCCAGATGTAGTCCAACATTTTTTTTGCAAAATTGATTCGAAACAATAATATTGTTTAGATGTTTCATGGCTGGGGCATTTCATCTATAAAGCGAACCCCACAGTTGTCTATCCATAGTCCGCTTCTGTTATGTATTAAATCATACCATTATATTATATTCGCCAAATACCAACTTCGACGGAACAGATGGCGCTAGCGTAGCAATTTTTTACTTTGACGTCAGAGACATCCTCCATCTTTAGTCCCCCCGTGACCACGGCTGCTGCAAAGCATCCGAAACGTCGGGCCGAAGTTAAAAATCATTTTCAAATAAGTTTAACTAATATATCGCGTTTTAAACCGTTAGAGTGTTTTATTTAAATCATACCATTATATTAAATCATTTTAATGATCAGGTGGGGTTACATCTTATGCTATATACAGCGTTTATAGAAGACCAAAGCATTCACCTGATATCTTCAAGGAGTTACAAATCTATAAGAAATTCTTGATGTTTTTACTCAATACAGTATAATTAAACATATCATTTCCAACGAAAAATTTATCTTGGTCAATTATTATCGCAAATCATTTTTATTGACCAAAATATTTCTCATAGTTACTATTAGTCAATTTTTATTGCCTAGAAATGGTCAATTGTAATATATACATATCTAACTCATAAAAACATTTTCCTTATAGAAATATTATTTTATTTTTATGAAGACTTAATTTGAGTGATTTGAGTAGGTAATTCATTTTTCTTTAGATAGACATTATTTTATAGATTCCATAACATAGATTTTATAAATAAAAATATTCATCTAATAAAATACATAGCAAACTAAAAATCTGTCTAGGGTTGTCATAATGGGAAAATCTGACAGTTATTTATAAGTAAATCTCAAGAAACACTGTGTACATAACGCACAAATCTCATTTATTTTCGTTAAGTACTTTAGTAGTAAGACTCGTTTGTACCGCCATTCTTTACTTGTTTATAGTAGGTAATAAAACCTACTAGATCTCTTTAATTTTTAATACGGTTAGTATGTTATTTGTAGTCTAAATATGAATCAAAGAATTTAATTTTTAGTCATGACAACCCTAGTATCTTCGAAAGGTGTGACTGTTTAATCGAAAATTCGCCTTGTAAAAACCTGTTAACTGTAAATTTAACTTCTAGAGTGGAACGTCATACTTTATGTAAATAATTATTTTTCTGTGATAAATAGAGTAAATTGTATATACTGTGTTAAGAGTATGTTAGATTTAAAAGAAAGATCGCCGAATCAAGTGCTAACTACATACATATTTGACATAGCAAGGGGGGAGGGAGTAGGCAGCACCATTGTGT